AGTAAGCTATGACAACAGCAAAAGATAAACTGGAAAAAAACTCCAACAAGGCCAACAAAGCAACTTCTTGGTGGTCTACACTTTGCTGTACATCAAATGCCAATAGAGGATGTTGTTAGTACTGTCCGGGTATTCTTTGTGGTAACACAATGCAGTAATAGAAATGCTTGACATTTTCTCGATAACTTGTCAAACTAAAATATTTTTGTTTTTGTGAATCAGTGCTTAATCAAGTGAATTACATTTCTGGGAAGTTATTATTCTAGAGTAACTCGTATGTATACCAACACATGTTGTTTATGTTTTATTTGTCACTTTATTAAGTATATCTCTAATTTCTAAATTAATAAAAAAAGTGTTCGATGGTGATAAGTAATGTGTATTAGTTTACAGGAAAGTTATGGTAAATGTTTTAAGGCTTTACCTATAATTGGATGAAATCAGATTTTAATCTAAAAAATCTCATTTCAGGGATTTGCAAATTTTTAATTTTGAAAATCACTAATTATTTTTTCATTGGAAACAATCGTAAGCGTAAGTACACCAAAATCATTGGAATCTATTGGTAATTAATTTTTTTGACTATTATAATCTTCTTAATATTTCATTCTAGATAATGGCTGTAAAAAGTGTATCAGGTATTACAGAAACCTATGGTGCTGGTGATTTTGCTGTATCCCAAATTAAAGCTAATTTAGATGAACCAAAGTGGGATCAGAATACCTACCAAGGAAGAGCTAAACATTTCTTCACTGTGACCAATCCTCTAAATGTTCTATTGAGTGGTAAACAACTAGATGAAGCTAAGACTCTTGTACAGCTATACAAGTGAGTATATCTGTCTAATCCCAGCTCAGATTACACTAGCCAGTCTAATCCCAGCTCCGATTACACTAGCCAGTCTAATCCCAGCTCAGATTACACTAGCCAGTCTAATCCTGGCTCATATTACACTAGCCAGTCTAATCCTAGCTCAGATTACACTAGCCAGTCTAATCCGGGCTCATATTATACGAGCCAGTCTAATCCTAGCTCAGATTACACTAGCCAGTCTAATCCTGGCTCATATTACACTAGCCAGTCTAATCCTAGCTCAGATTACACTAGCCAGTCTAATCCTAGCTCAGATTACACTAGCCAATCTAATCCTGGCTCAGATTACACTAGCCAGTCTAATCCCAGCTCAGATTAGACTAGCCAGTCTAATCCCAGCTCAGATTAGACTAGCCAA